GGGGGGGAAAGTCACTGTTGGTAGGACTGAATTTATTCTACACAGAAGGGAGCCTTCAGGGGTCTGCAGATAAGTTGAAGGCTAATGTATAACGTGTGGTTCTACAGGTGCCTGGAAGCACTCCAGGGATGCTCCAAGAGATGTGCCTAACCAGCTTGTGCTGGTTTTTACTCACTGTTCTCCTACCACATCACTGCGAGTGAAAACAGAATCACATCACTGTCAGAAAAGACTCACAGAACAGCACTTGGAACACTCGAGAGAGCTCACAAAGCACAAGTCAAGTCCTTTTGTTTTTCTGTAGAGGCTCTCCAGTGAAATCACAGAATCAAGACAGAGACCGACATACGACTTAAGCAGACAATTTTAAGATATCTAGGTTACAGCTGTGCCATGCAACCTTGTAGCCAATTTAACACGTCAGGAGACCTAAGAGCCTCCGAAAAGTGATCCAAAAATCCCGTGTGCTAAACAGGGTGTAGCATATCTAGTGAACAAGAAATACTGTGCACAGGAATACGACTTAAACCTGGCTCCCTTCCAGAGATTTAAGGTGAGTATTTCTATTGATTGGAGTCAAAGGCCTGGAATAAGTGCTTGGTGGCAGATGACTTCATCCAGTCTTCAGACAAGAGGGCAGGAATACAATTTTTTTTTTTCTTCAAAAATTGGAATTGGAAAAGCAGAAACCACTCACTATTTTTTATGCAATACCACCAAGGTGAAAGTGCTCACTTACAGTTCAACACCTCCTTCGTCTAATAAGATCCAAGCTCCTATGTCCCACGTTGCAGGAGTCCCCGGGTCACCAGACTTTAGTGTATCCTAAGGGAGGTTCCTCTTCACCCTCCCTGCTGAAGGTGTGTCCCCACAAAGAAGAAGAAAGCAAAATTCATGAGACCCAGTAGAGACTACAACTCAGCTAACACCTAAGGCACTGATCTGGAGGTGCAAAGACAAAACTTTTGTGCAGAGAATTAGGTTATTCAGACACGGTATTCATTAAGGAACTTTGGAAACTTAAGTTGGAAGCTGCAGATTCAAAGTCCCCTATGCACTGACTCATTAGTCACAATTATTACCGGTATTGTGAGCACATGCAACAAGGTAAAGACTTATCAGAAGCCTGAAATTGGAATTTTTCCAATCTGTTTTTCAAAATCTTCTTCCAAGTATGCTAAGACTGGCCAAAGAAAAGGGAAAAAGAAAGCAGGCAAATAGGTATTTCTTTGGGATTTTCATCCTGTGATGCCAAATTCAGTGTCTTGTGTCACGGGGAAAAAGCCTCCAGCTTCATTTAACACCTGCATTACGTGATCACATGGAATGAGACGGGATCACTAGGAGTCCTGGCAGAACTCACATGGACGTTCATGAAGCAGACACCTAGCATATCAGCGGCGCTCTCCAGTCTCCTCCTTCATCTGTGCAGATGAATACATAAGCTTTGTATTTCTTATCTTAAGAAATGGAAGCAAACCCCAGATCTTAAAAGGTATTTCAAACAGGGACACATGTAAACTACTTTGGTTTTTTTTCCTGTGCACTTATGAGAGTGCTAGTCACCCAAGAGATAAGGGCTAACTTACCATCTTTTTTAACACATTAAAATATATATCAACCTACACGCTAAAAGAATTTAAATAAAAAGGAAGTCACTCTTTCAATCTGTTTTGAAGAAGAAAACACACTTTCATATTATCATTGACATGAAATACATAGCAAGCTTTGAAGTTTTACGCAGTTGTAAAGGAAGAAGCAGTTTAGAAGAGGATTTTTAATTCAAGAGCTATTTATAACAGTAACAATGTTATAGGACCCTGAACAAAAGCACTAGGAAGCTGTGGAGGTAATGGTACAGCCACTCTTACAGTCGCAAAGCTGATTAAAATAAAACTTTCTCACCAAATGTATTCCTTCGTGAAGACGTCTAGTTAGTTGTTTCCACAAAAGTATTCTGCGTACACCTACAAGAAAAGTAGAAAGTTAATGACATCTTATGGAACAGTGCTACTGCCACATACCTACCATGGGAGTATGGTGGGAATCATAAACACAAAGCCCCACAGTAGGGCAGAAGCACGCTCGACATGGCCTTAAGATGCCAAGATTTTGAGATTTATCTCACCAAAACACTGATTCCTTCTGTGTTCTTGGGAAATGAAGATAAATTTACTTGCTCCATATGCTGTCATGAGGATTACAACAATCAATGTTAAAACACAACCTCTCCTGAATAAGCCTGCAGTTCTTGGAGAGCAATTTGTGTAAAATTTCAGCCTTCCATTGGGAAGTGGGCTCTAACCATTACAGACGTGTGCGCAACTTCCTGAGCTTCAGACGATGCTCTTGATGTCTTTCTGACTTTACAGACAAAAAGCCCTACTGTTTCAGCACAGCGAACCTGGCCCAAGCAGCAGCCAGTAAAAACTGGCTTGTTTCAATGCCACTACTCAGATATTTGTGGGCAGCGAGGAAACTAACCGAGGATGGGGCCAATTCCAGTTGGCAGCATAACGCTGCTCCAGAAGGCTGCAGCAGCAGCAGCCAAGCGCTGGAACTATTTACCTGACAGAACTGCAAACAAACTGGTCACCTCATCTTAGTCCACCACAAAAAAATGATCTTCCTTCTGCCCACCAGCTATGCAGTTAGAAAGCTCGGCTACAGAGCTGATGGAAACCAAAACAATCCCTGCCATGTGTATGGCTGTCCTTCCCCTCTTTCTACAGTTGGAGCAGATTTCAAAGCGAACCTGATGTCTTCCACGTACGTGAAAACAATTAGTTTTAGGGACGATGCTTTAAGAAATACATTTTGGAAAGAGTAACAGCGCTCTACTCCCCAGATTAAACAAGGAAATAAACGTGAAGCCAAAAAAAGGTAATCTCACCCGTGGGTACTGCTTGAGCCACGCAAGTGACCCCTGACTATAAGCTTCCCTGCTGTACGCCTTGGACTGGAGCTTGTAACATGTTAGGAATACGAGTGCTCAGTGCTGTTAGTTCTCTCAGACATAACCCTCAGAGCACAGCCGATACAGAAATGTGGTTTTCAGTTAGTTAATGCAAGGGAGACAGTTGACTGAGCTTCTGCAAGAAGAGTCAACGTTAACAGTGCTGAAGTAAAAAAAAAAAACAATACACAAATCCAGGCATGTAGAAAGCGTGTAGTTAAAAAACCAAGAGCATAGCTGACATTTCAACAAGCCTTCTGTTTAAAAGCCAAGTTTCAAAATTCAGAGGTATATACAAAGCAGGACTGGCTTGGAAGCGAACATGTCCGTTTTGGAGGAAAAAAAAAAGACAGAGTTTTCAAGGGAAAGTTCAAATGGATCAGGAGTTTCCAGGTGTGAACCACAGCTTACTTTTAAACGTGTAGCAGAATAGGCTACACACACCCACACCCACCCCCAAAAAAGATACCAAGCCTGGCATAAGAAATAGCAACAACAGGTTCACAGCATGCAGGGTTCAGCACACAGCTGGGAAGGTAATGCAGCCTATCTGTATTTTAAAACAAACAAACAAAAAACCAACAAAAACTAACACATATGCCACAATTAAAGGCAAAAAAGGAGGCATATCTCCTGGGGAAAAAAACCCCACCAAACCACTTTAACTCTGCCCAGGATGTTACAGCATCGTATCTGCCTATAAGAGAATTCAGCATTCTCCATCACCTTCAACTAAAGCACAGATCAGGCTGCAGAAGAGGCTCTAGGGAGCACCCGCTATTGGCAATCAAAATTTTCTCTGAAGCAAGGATTCGCAAGATACCAAATCAAAGGTGGCAGGAACCCAAATTCCCCTCTCCTAGTCCTCCAAAATGGGTTTCTAGAAATTAAATGGTGAATTCCAGTAAGGCACAGGGCACAGCTTCAGAAACAACATGGACTTGCTCCATTTTACCAGCCGTGTCAGCCTCCGCCTCCTGCTAGCTCAGCTTTCCAAAGCAGAGCGCTCCCCATTTCTCCTAATGCTTTCCCAACCCCTCAGCTCCACACCCGCCTCTGCTCTCCTTTTCCACCAGGCCTACGAAGACAAATCCTGACAGCGCAGCTCCTAACAGCCAGAGAGATAAAGCAGCTGCTGAACTTCCTTGCCACCCTTGCTAATGAAATAATGAACTTTTTCCCTGGTGTCCACCGCCTGGTTGTTGGCTCCTGTCTGACATTTAGGCCTGTTCACTTGCTGGGCAAGGACCCCCTTTCCATTTGCGCTTTTGCAACACAGGCCATTTCTATACCGAGGAGGCAACACCAACTCTACTGAATGTTTAACCACAGCTTAACAAAAAGCTTTTTTTTTAAAAAAAAAAAAAAAATAAATGTCTGGATAGTGTTTACTGAGCAGTCTTAAAACTGATGTGCGTACAAACCAGGATTTGTGTGCTAAATTAAGCTATCTTGTATGTACCCTTACCATTATACAGAGACACGCTGCCCGAAGCAATGCTCTGGATGCGCCGAGGCGGGCTACGTGCACTTGGGAGTTATCGTCCTTACGGAGGGACATCCTGATTCAGAGTTCTCGTTTTCAGCCCAGTTAAACGAGCAGAAGGAAGCATTTAATCGCATCCGCAGAGGCTGGCTACAAGCTTCGCACAATGACCAGAACCAGCTGCACGGCTAAAATAACTTGGATTGACTTCCAGGCCACACCACACAAACGCCTAGGCTAGGTGAATGCTGAAAGCTAAGCTGCTGCCAAACAGTTTACAAAAAAACTCTTCCAGATTCTGCTCCGTCAAGCTGGACTCGAGAGAAACGGCAGAAATAAAGAGGAGGTTACCCCAGGAAACAACCCAGTACGGCGAAGTTTAACAAAGAGAAAACCCGAAGCAAAGCTCCTCCTGGCACGGAGAAGCCCACGGGGAGAACAAACCCGGCCAGGAG